TGGGAATCCCCAAAATCAATCCCCAATCCCATGGGAATCCCCAAAATCAATCCCTGATCCCATGGGAATCCCCACTGGTGCCAAACCAGCACCAAAATCTCCATTTTTGACCCCAATTTTCCCTTTTCTGCAGCTTTTCGGCATGGAAAGTTCCACCCACGGGTGTTTTTTTATTCCCCTTTTCCTGGTTTTTCCCTGCTCTGCAGGGATTCCCCTCCCGTATTTATGACTTTGCTCCATGGATGAGTTTTGGGAGGAGTTTCCCCCCAAAAAACCCCAAAATCTTCTTGGAATCGTGCCCAAAAACCACGACAGGTGCTCAGAAAAATCCCAGAATTGCCTTAAWTCGCGTGGATCTCGGCTCCAGCCCATCCCGCCCTCACAGATTCCCCGAAATTCCCGATTTTCCCCCAATTTATTTCTCTGCTGTGGCCACAAACCCCAAAAAGCTGCTTTTTKTCCCCAAAATGCCTCCAGGGCGAGCGGAGGCTTTGGGAAGGCCGCGCCGGGGGTGCTTTTTTATCAGGAAAAAGATGAATTTGGGGCTTTTCCCTCAATTTTGTGGCTTTTTCCCCGAATTTGGGGCATTTTTCCCCAGATTTCAGGGGAGTTTCACCGCGCTTCGGGTGGGTTTTCGCGGTTTTCCGCTTCCCGCGGCGCCCGCGCGGGAGWTTTCTCGGCAATAAAGGGTGGAAGCGGTGTTTATTAGCTGTTAATAAACGCTAATTTATGCTGGTGTATTTAAATATATGCAAATGAGGTGTGATTGGGGGCGGCGCCCTCTTTCGGGCGGGAATTCGCGGCGGGCGCGCGCTTTTGGCTCCGCCCCCTCTGTGACGTCACGGCCACGCCCCCGGCCAGGCGCGCGCGGGGTCTCCCCCTCACGGCCCCCCCGCCATTTTCGGTGTCCGTTTCCTTCCGCCGCCGCTTTTCCTTTTCCTTCCGGGACGCGGCGGAACCGGGCCCGGGGGGGAAAATCCAAACCCCCGCGGTTCCCGGGATGAGCGGCCGCGTCCGGCCGGGCCCGCGGCGTCCATGACAGGTGAGAGGAGCGGCTCCGTTCGCTCCGTGCTCCTGCTCCCCCCGCGCCGCGCAATGGGCTCGCCCGGCCCCGCTGAGGGCAGCGCGGACCGCACCACCCCGCGCCGCCGCCGGGGGGCGCCGCCTCCCCCCCGCGGCCCCGAATGGGCTCGTCCGGCTCCTGCGGGGGTCGGGGGGGCCGCACCACGCGCGGGGGGAAAGGGGGGGGCGCGGGGGAAGCGGGGACTCCCCCTCCCCTCCTCCCCCCCCGTGACCCCGCTGTGGTTCCGCCCGCGCGGGGCGGGGGCGGCTCAGGGGAGCGAACCATTCCTGAACTGGGGGGGGCTGTGGGGAGCGAACCATTCCTGAACTGGGGGGGGCTGGGGGGAGCGAACCACTCGTGAATTGGGGGGGCCGGGGCTGCTTGCGGGGGTCGCGTCTGTGTCCCCCACCCCAAATTTCCCTCCGGGGAGGGGCAGCAGCGCTGGGCGGAAGCTCCCA